GGATTGGCAATAGATTTAGCTCAGAGCCAGTCTTCCTCAACAAAAAGAGGAGGATTAGCACGGATGTTAGCTTGTGATCTTCCTCACAAAACAAAACAAAAAAAAAACAAAGTGGATCTTGTACTACATGGTTGTTTTCGTGCCTTTTATCTCCTAACCAGGCCATAAGTTTCTCAAAGATGAAAAATATTCCTGTTTACCTCTATTTCCCCAGTTGTGGTCAACACACATGGGCCGAACCTCCTGATGCTGGACGACGGAGAGCTACAGGAACACACCCCATGCACCTGCTACATTCACACGGAGCGACTGGCAATTCCAGGAGCCTCCTCCTGGGTCCCTGCCACCCCCATTTCCAGGCACCCCTCTGGTCATCCTCCTGGTCTCCTGTTTGTGGAAGCTGGTTCCCGCCCTTGCATGTGGCTGCAAATCTGGCCTGGCTCCAGCTCTGGTTTTATGCTTTGACTTCTGGCCCATTCATCCAGTCTCCAGGTCTGAACAGTCACATCTGTGTGACTGCTGAGAGGGGACCTGGCTCTGCCTCTTGGCCGAGTTTTGGCCACAGAGCCAGCACCTCTGCCGGCTGTTCCTCCAGCCCTGCAGCCCCCTGCCTGGAAACAAACCCAGCTCACTATGGTGGGGGATGCCGGCTCTGCCCTCTACTCCTGAGTGCCTGGGTCAGCCCCGTGGGAGCCTTCCTCAGCCTTCTGCCCTCTGCTTTCTCCCAGCCACTCCACCATTCCATCTTCTCTACACATTTGGGCTGGCGCCAGGCTGTCCTGGCTCTCCTCCCTTCAAGTCCATCCTACTTTCCACTACCCAGAGATGGCTTGTTGCTCAGGTATGAAGACCTTGCTTTAAAAAACAAATCAGTTCACAATAGCCAAAAGCCGAAAACAACCCAAGTGTCCATTGACGGATGAATGGATAAACAAAATGAGGCATAGCCATACAAAAGAATATGGTATATTCATACAATAGAATATAATTCGCAATAAAAAGGAACGAAATTCTGATACATGCTACAACATTGATGAACCTTGACAACATTATGCTAGGGTTGAAGTAAGCCAGACACAAAAAGACAAATACTGTATGATTCCACTTATATGAGGTTCCTAGAGTAGACAAATTCATAGAGACAGAAAGTAGAACAGTGGTTACCAGGGCATAGTGGGGGAGGGGAAACGGGGAGTTAGTGTTTAATGGGTAGAGTTTCAGTATGGGATGACAAAAACGTTCTGGAGACAGATGGTAGTGATGGTTACACAAGAATGTGAATGCACACTGAACAGTACACTTAAATGGTTAAGACAGTAAATTTTATGTGTATTTTACCATAATAAAAAAGTTAAATAAATAAACAAATCAGGCTTCCTCGTGATCTATCGCCCCCTCCAACAACAACAGAACCGCACCATTGTTGGGAACCATACCATCACCTACCAAGAAATGTAGCCTGTGGGCAAGCAGAAATCTAGCTCTGTGGGCTGGTGGTATTCTGAGGCCCACGTGGTCGGGCTGGAGATGAGGCCCAGTCCTCCCCAACGTGCTCCGTTCCAGCTGTAGTGGCCAGCTCATGCCATTTCTCCCACACAGAACGCCCCCTCTCTGCTCTTCTCAGTGGCCTTTCTGTGCCCCAGAGCTCTGGGAGCTGGCCCTTCCTCTTCTGACCTCCAACGGCACTCATTGTCTGTCCTCCTCTGGTGCGTGGCTGATGCCACCTCCCTCTGCTGAGTATTTTCTAACTCAAGCAGCTCTGTGCTCCCACTGGGCGCTGCTCCTCGCCTGGAAGATTTATATTGCAAGGTACGAAAGGATGCAGACAAGACCCCTGGATGTCTGTTGGTGAGCTCTGAGGACCCTGAAGGACAAGACAAGCGATCCAGGTCTGGAAATGAGCAAGGTGCTCCTGGGTTTCCAGGAAGTGAGCAGAGTATATGAATCACAGAGGAACCAGCCTCGGATCTAGTATTATCAAAGGATGGTTTGTGAGCGCTTGAAAAAGGAAGCAATGATTGCTTCCTTGGGTTCACTAAATGGGTTCACTAAAAATGACTCACGGATGGGCCTCATTTTACTTCTTTTTAAAATAACAGCTTTATTGAGATATAATTGACATACCATAAAATTCACTCTTTATTTATTTATTTATTTTTTATTTTTATTTTTTGTGAGGAAGATCAGCCCTGAGCTAACATCCATGCTAATCCTCCTCTTTTTGCTGAGGGAGACCGGCTCTGAGCTAACATCCATTGCCAATCCTCCTCCTTTTTCTCCCCAAAGCCCCAGTAGATAGTTGCATGTCATAGTTGCACATCCTTTCAGTTGCTGTATGTGGGACGCGGCCTCAGCATGGCCGGACAAGCGGTGTGTCAGTGTGCGCCCAGGATCCGAACCCGGGCCGCCAGTAGCGAAGCACACGCACTCAACTGCTAAGCCACCAGGCCGGCCCCTAAAGTTCACTCTTTTAAATTGTACAATTCAGGGGCCAGCCTGGTGGCGTAACAGTTAAGTTCACGCACTCCACTTCGGCGGCCCGGGGTTTGTAGCTTCAGATCTCGGGCACGGACCTACACACTGTTCATCAAGCCATGCTGAGGTGGTATCCCACGTAGAAGAACTAGAAGGATGTACAACTAGGATAAACAACTATGTGCTGGGGCTTTGGAGAGAAGAAAAAAGAAATAAAGAGGAAGACCGGCAACAGATGTTAGCTCAGGGCCAATCCTCTGCCTCAAAAATAAATAAATAACTATTGTACAATTCAGTAATTTTTAGTATATTCACAAGGTTGTGCAGCTATCATCACTATCTAATTCTAGAACATTTTCATCACCCCAAAAAGAAATCCCGTACCCAGCAGCAGTCATTCCCTATCCTGCTCTCCCCATCCCAGCCCCTAAGCAACTACTAGTTTGCTTTCTGTCTCTATGGATTTGCCTATTCTGGACATTTCATATAAATGGAATCATACAATATGTGGTCTTTCGTGTCTGGCTTCTTTCACAGAGCACGACGTTTTCGAGGTTCACCCATATTGTAGCATATATCGATCAGTTCTTTATACATTTTTATTTATTGCTGAATAATATTCTATTGTATGGCCATACCATATTTTGTTTATCCATTCATCAGTTGATGGACATTTGAGTTGTTTCCACTTTTCGGCTGTTATGCATACTGTTGCTATGAACGTTCATGTACAAGTTTTTGTGTATGTTTTCATTTCCCTTGGGTATATATCCAAGAGTGGGATTGCTGGGTCATATCCTTATTTGCTTTTGAAACAACGTTGTCAACCCGGTTCAACAGAAAACTATGGCTGACTTGATGTCTCTGCCAGGGTCAGCAAGGCCCCCCTATTAGGCTTCTGGGGAAAGATAAACAGGTTTAGATGCCATACAGTTAGGCGGATTGGCTGTTAGTGGTAGGGCCACCTAGAAAGGGTGCCAACTATCAAATTGGCTGGCGACACAAAGCTGAGGCAGAATCTAGACCCAAAAGATCTCAGCAAGCTGGTATGCTATCTGGGGACAAAATACAGCAAGGAAGAATGCAAGTTGCTAAATATAGAATTACCATATGACCCAGCAATTCCACTTCTGGGTATACACACAAAAGAATTGAAAGCAGGGACTCAAACAGATATTTATTTGTACACCAGTGTTCACAGCAGCATTATTTATAACAGCTAAAGGTGGAGACAACCTCAGTGCCCATTGATGGATGAATGGATAAGCAAAATATGGTATATACATACTGTGGAATATTATTCAGCCTTAAAAAGGAAGGAAATTCTGACATGCGTCACAACCTGGATGAACCCTGAAGACATTCTGCTAAGTGAAAGAAGGCAGATACAAAAGGATAAATATTGTATGATTCTACTTATATGAGGTACCTAGAGTAGCCAGATTCATAGAGACAGAAAGTAGAATGGTGGTAGTCACGGGCTGGGGGGCAGGAGGGAAGGGGAGTTGTTTAATTGTTATTGTTAACAGAGTCTCAGTTTTACAAGATGGAAATAGTTACGGAGCTGGATCATGGTGGTGGTTGCACAACAATGTGAATGTACTTAATGCCACTGAACTGTACAGTTAAAAATGGTTAAAATGGTAAATTTTATGTTGCATATACCTTTCCACAATTTGAAAAAAATAAAGGCAAGATCCTGAAACCAAGTCCCCTAAACTGACTTCTCAAATACAGGGTTTGAGGGGAACAGAGCATAGCAGCACGTGCGATGACATCTGGAGATTTGCCAAATAGTAGTTCTCTCTTATCTGTGGGGGAAACATTCCAAGACCCCATTAGATGCCTGAAACCACGGATAGTATCAAACCCTCTATATACTGTGTTTTTTCCTATACATATATAGCTATGATAAAGTTTAATTTATAAATTAAGCACAGTAAGAGATTAACAACAATAACTAATAATAAAATAGAACAATTATAACAATACCTCATTTTATTGCACTTCGCAGATACTATGTTTTTTACAAGACCCTCCACCAGCAAACAAGTTATGACTCGCTGGAGGCTCAGATGATGG